TTGGAAGAACCTGAAAAAATTATAAGAAATTGGAAGTTAAGAGTTCAAGTCTTAAAGAACAAACTCTAAGAAATCAACGAGTACTCATTTACAAATAACAAAATACTCATTCTTGAGCAAATTAAATGAATACTCATTTTCGAGTAACTTTATACTCATTTTTATAAAATTCAATTATACTAAAAAAATGAGTATTTGGTTACTTGAAAATGAGTACTCTAGTACTCGTAAATGAATATTCAGTTACTCAAAATGAGTATTCATGTAGATATACGGGAAATATCGTATATTCGGATGTATGGTATAGGTACCCGGTCCTATATAGGTCTTATTCTTAATGTCTTAATGAATTAAAGTGTATAAGCTAATTATATTTAAATAACAATTAACATAACAATATAATACAATGTAACAAACTAAATAAATCACATATAAAATTATAGTAAAAAGTTTTTTTATACTTACCTTCCCAAACCAATGTCTTGAAAATTGTATCACACGCCGACTCAGACGAAGAGCTAGTGGGGTCAAGATTTAACTGGTCAATCCGAGGGTCAATGGCTTGATCGAAAGAATAATACTTTATACTCCCTCCGTCCCGAATTATTCGTCCAGTTTTGACTTAGAACTGTTCATCTAAGCACTTTGCAATCTCTACCTAGCACTTTACGCTTATATTTAGTTGATTGGAATGAAAAAAAGAAGAAAACAAATAATTTTAATATATTAAGGCATAATTGCTAAATATTTCTTAATTTTAATGCTAATATAATTTTTAGTTATTTTTTTGTTTTGAAAAATATTATTTTTGGAGTATAAGTATTCAAATTAATTTTTAAGTAAAATATATATAATTTTGTGCATTTATATTTTAAACTATTTTTAAAAGTTTAATAAACAAGTACATTAGATGCTACTTGTGTTTCTAATCAATTCAATAAATATATATCTTATTGCGTGAGTTTTATTCCAAACAATATAGTAATCTTTGAAAGGGTAGGGTATTGTTTCCTTACAACACTCCAATAAACCAAAATATCAAACATTTCTAGATCAACTATCATCACATCATCATCCAAATAAAGGTCCACCTCCCATCTTGACGTTTCTTTTTTGGCATCATAAAAACATGTATTGTAACGACCCGAAAACTGACTCAGTAGTTAGCTGTTATTTTTATAAAAATAAATATACAATTTTCTGACTAAAAAATATAAATTATTTATAAAGTAAACCTTTTTATTTAAAAATCGAGTAATTGGGTAGATCTCGTAAAATGGTGACCAATAATATATAGTTTTTAAGTTTGCACTTATGTGTGTTGTAATGCATGAGTTCAACCATTTCTGTGTTGTTAAGTGTTGACTCATAGGTTTTGATAAATGACAAACACAATTTATTCAAGTCAAGATCAGAGTGCTATATTGACAAACACGAAGACTTAAAATGCCATTCCTTGAAGTATTTGAGAAGGTGCACCGGATTTTATTGGAGTCCAAGACATGTTTGGAGCGCCTAACGAAGGACTTGGAGGAGTATAAGATTTCCAAAGACTTTTTATTTATTTGAGTCGTAGGAATAATTGTAAGGATGACAAAAATACCTTCTCTCCAAAATTATTTTTATGAGAGCTAAAATAAAAATTATATTTATTTTTTGAGTCAGTTGAAATTTTTTTTAACTCTTCAAAATAGTGTTATTGAGTGAGTTACAAAAGGTGTGCCAAACATTTATCAAATATTTATTTTGATATTATAAAATAGTTTTGGTAAGTAAAAATATTTTATTCAAATATTTTTTATGTACATCGTTTGACACACAAAATATTTTTTGGTCTCTTTTTCTACACAAAATATTCTTCCTCATAATTCAAATTTGAATTTGAATTATTTTATTTGAATTGGGAGCCTCCTTATCTTGAATTCTATGTCTCAAACATTGGATTAAATCCAAATTGTCCTTCACCTTGCTCACATGCTTGTGTTTTTCATGTCTGGGCATTATTGTTGCAATAATCGATTATTACCTATGGAATTAATCAATTATCTCGTCCAGAAGGAACTAATCGATTAACACATTTGGCTTTAATCAATTATCACTTTTCTTCGCAGAAGGAATTTGGCTCTGGCAAATTTAATCGATTTTTGCAGATGCTTTAATCGATTTTTTATGATGCACTAATCAATTATGATGATGCATTAATCGATTATTTTAATGCATCTTTTCTGCACAGCTTCGTTTCTTGGACCAACGGATATATTTTTCATCTCCTATTTAAACTCCCTTCCTTGGTCATTTTTGTGTAGAAGAAACACTCCAATACTCCTCATTCTTGAGGTTATAATCCTCCATTCAATTCTTCCTCAGATTGATATATTTTGAGAGAAAACTAAGTGTTTTCAAGAAAGTGTTTTGTCATCCATTAAAGCTTTAATCATTTCTCATTTCTACTCTTTTGATTTCTCCGTAAGCGGTAAAAACGAAGAAGTCGTAGGAAGAGCGTTGAAAATGTAAACGTAACCGTTCAAGCGTCCGGTCTCCAACTTTGACACACGAACAACGCCGGAGTCTACCACAATCTTTATGCTAGTAAAGATTATAGTAGTATAAATATAAAGATTAAAATTTTGGGATAATAATAATCTTGTATATTTATATAGAAAATATTTCTAATAATATTTAGAAAATATTATAGATATTTTCTATACACAAAATGATATTAATGGAACACAAAAGAATTTTTCTCTCTCAAGAAATAATGTTGGCCGAAAATTCCTTCTACAAAAATCCCATGGTTAGCTAATGATGTGTGTGGTTTAAATAAAGTATGATTGTAATTGATTTTGTCATTAGCTAAATGACAAATCAATTTAGCCACTCAAGAATCAATCAAAACATAATTTTGATTCATTAAATCCTCATATGGCCGAATGATGATTGTGAGAAGGATTTTCAAAATTCTTCTCCACTTAAATGTTCAAAGTGTATTTTATTTGACACCAAAAATTAATATTAAATTAATTTTAAATCAAATAGCAATACCAATATCATTTTAAACAAGTATAAAATATACTTTAATTAGTTTTTGTCAAAATAATTATTTTCATAATTAAAATGACAAACCAAAATAAAATATTTAACATATAATATATTTATATATATATATATATATATATATATATATTGGTGTTATTATATATATATATATATATATATATTAAATATATATATAAACCGTATATATAATATATATTATACTCCAAAATATTTTATTTTACTGTATTTTTCTTGGCATATTGAGCTTGTGGGATTTCTTCAAAAACTAACTGCTCATCTTTTTCAGCATGTTTAGAAAACACAATAAAATCATTTTCTCTAAAAGGTTTATCAAGTCCCAAGCAACAATCTTCTCCAAGCTCTTTTATCAATTCTCCCTTAGCCCTAGATCCTTCAAACTTATCAGACTTCTTCCTTTTAAAAATATTTATTTCTCCAATATTATGGAAGTTCTTTTCAATTTTCCAAAGAGTTTCAACAAGATGTTTCGCTCAACAGATTTCTCAAAAGCCATTTTGCTTTCAATACTAGATTCACCTAGGAGCTTGCCTGTAATCTCTATATTTCCAAGAAGATGAGCCATACTAAACCCATTTGAAACAGCTCCCTGGTCATGAAGTATATCTTCCTCTTTTTCAATTTTCACTAGGGTATTAAATTTGCCAGTACAAATCTTGTTTGTCTCTTTTTGGTATATTTTATTTTGAATACTAGGTGATCTCTCCTCTTCAAAACCAAAACTTTTGAAAGCACTTTTGGACTCATCAATTTCAGCTTCAATGTCATCTTCAAATTTTTCCACTTTATTAGAAAAATTTTGAATTTGACACTGATTTTGAAGATGACCTTGAATGTTATTTGTGACAGTTTCAAAAGCACTTCATCTGTCTTCAAGTTCATCAGAGAAATATTAGAAATCTGATTCTTTTTGTTGTTTAAATAAGTCTCATCATCTTGAAAACATATTCCCAATCAAACTCTGATTGCTTCTCAAAATCTAGTCCATTACCTTCCATTTGATTTGGAAGGTCTGTTTCTACCATTTGAAACAATTCATTTAATTTTAATTCATAAAATCCTTCTCTCTTTTTATCTTGTGTTTTAAAATATTCAGAAGTCTTAGGATTAAGAGTTAAAAGAGTCTGGTTCAATTTCGAAGAGTGAGCATACCATTTGAAACTCTTCATTTAATTTTAATTCATAAACTCTTTCTCTCTTTTTATCTTGTGTTTCAAAAAAATCAGATGTCTTAGTATTAAGCAGTGTTATTAGAACCGGACATGTCGGCCGGTCCAACCGGTTTCGAACCCTTGTCACATTGACTACTACGGTGGGCTTTATCCACCTGAGCTAATGCTAAACTTGTTTCCTAGTCCATGCAACACAGGATATATTACTTCTTTAAAATATTTAGATAGTACATAGTAATCAAAAAACAATCCTAATTATTAAATATAGAGAACGCTCTATGTGTTTATCAATAATTTACTCTTTATTTATTTTATGAAATTTTAGATTAGTACAAAGCTAAAAGTTAGTACTCCGGGGTATTATTTATTTTTTATTTAAGTAATAATAAAACCTATATTTAAAATATTACAGAGTATTTTCTTCTTTAAAATATTGATAATAATTTAATGTATTTCATTTTTTATTTTTAAAAAATTTTAATCAACTAAATATAAAATTTAAAATGTCAATAGTACCCGGAGTATATAAGAAAATAATATGTAGTCTTTATATTTTTGAAAACGAGTACTTCTACGATATTCACTATTAACTTGTAGTCCGTAATAATAATGAAAATATAATAGAATAAAAACAAAACATGTAAAATATATGGAGTATATGTTCAATGAAACTAAAATCTAGATGTAGAAGTAAAAAAAATATAAATTAAAATACTTTTATTTACTATATATGGCATCTAATAATATACGGAGTAATATAAAATATTATTATTTACATATATTTGACCGGGTCATTGACCCCGGAGTTGACCGGTTCGACCAGTTAGCCCTTGACCCACTTGCTCATCCGGGTCGATGCCCGGTCCGATTTTCAAAACATTGGTATTAAGAGTTAAAGGAGTTACTTGGCCATTTCATTTGCAAAATACTGGACTTACTGTGGGCCCATACATTGATTTATATGAACAGGCCATGTCTAAGTTAGTTGGGAATTGAGTAGCTAACAGTTTATGGACTGTGATTACTATCCCTCTCAGGTGTCCAATGTGGCATTTCTGCTAGATCCTTCAGTGAGTTCACATTCTCGAATATTCCATACTTTGGTATCTGCAGCCAATCGCACGTCATTATTATTGGAAGAATACTGAAGGTGATAGAAATGCACATAACATGACACAATTTGAATGTTTTGCAATAAAGAGCTCATTGTTACTCCCAATTTGAGATGATTGACAGTTTCCATATTCTAGAGGATCATGAACTATAATGAGATCTTCATTCCTCTGTCAAGAAGATGTCAAACAGCTTGCAAAAATGATAATGGTTCTACTAAAAACAGAGCATGAAGTCGAATTGACTAAAAAAGAAATCATATACATCTGTTTGTTGTTGTACTCCATTCACCAGGACAAATACAAAAGAAAGGCAGTCTACAAGTGTGTGATTCTGCAGACAAACTGGGTTTCATAAAAATCACAAATTATAAATCGGCCAATACAGCAGGTTACAAAAGAACTACCATTTCCCAAATATAAATTTTATTGATCCCAATCCAGCATGAAACTACACTTATTTAGGGAAAAGATAACTCGTGTCATTATCGGCAAGAGTTCTAACTTGGAGCAAAGAATTGCAATAAGCAAACCTTTTAAGAAGAAAACACTTCCAATATAGTGGCTATCTAGGAACAAGGGACTTTAGAAGTCTTTTGCTGCACTTTGACTTTGCTCTTCAATGCTGCAGTTTTGTCTTTGTTTATAGCATCCTCTGTTTTTAATTTATGCACACAACAATATCTTGTGCTGCACTTTCACTTTGCACTTCAAAACTTTCATCTCCTACCCACCCTACAATCAATATCTACATGTGTGTTGTACAATCTTACAATTTGTATGCCCCTTCAAGATCATCCAGATCTTAATCTTAACTCCAATGTGTTCATGAATCAACTATGGAAAAGACTGGCCAAATGTATTTCATTTTGAATTGTAAATTCTTGTTGTCTAGATTTTGAGAATTTTCAGTTCTCAAAGCACAACCATGAAAGTTAGATGCTAGTAAACCACAATAACTTAAAAGAATATGTAATTTTAAGCAAATACACAAATAGAGATTAAAAACAAGCATAGCACGCACCTCAAAGTACGATCCAAATGGGACGCCAAGGACCTGTTGTACAGCTTCGAACATCTGGAATAGGGAAATACTGAAATAAGTGAAAAACAAATTAAGTGTAGAATTGTATTATCAGAAACACACAACATTATTGAGTGTTCATGAAAAGATTATGATAAGAGAAATAACCAGGGTTATTTAATGTCATGAGAGAACATGTTAAGTGACTGTTGAAATACATCACTCTATTCTTAAAAGCAGGGGAATTTTTTTCCCGCCCAATGCACTATAATCCTGCACCGTTGATATCAATGTACGAAAAAGATCTGCGGTTATGATTGGTTGTGTATTATTACCAATTTAGAAGGATATATTAAAGGAAAAAAAGGAAGGAATTGAATGCATTGTAATCTGACCAAAAAGGAAGGAATTGAATGTTTTTACAACCGTGTGTTTTTTTCTAGAAACATAAAGGGTGTTATTGATAATTTTTTATTTTTTTACAACCGTGTAAAAAAAGGTAATTTATTCCTATGAAAATTAGCATTTTAAAAAAGGAAAACTTTAAAGGAGGATATGACGTATATATTTACAACCGTGTGTTTTTTTGTAAACAGATTAACAAGGAAAAAAATTGAGGAATAAAAATTTACTTTATATTTTGATATCATTATTATTTTTTAAATATGTGATAAAAAAGGAAATTTATTCATACAAGAAAAGAGGTTATTTCAAAAATGGAAAACATAAAGAGATGGAACGTGATTATTTTAAAAAATATTTTATTCCTATGCAAATTACCATTTTAAAAGAACGAAAGATTTAAAGAAGGATATAATGTAAAGATTAAAAACCGCGATTATTTTAGTACGTTAAAAAAGGTAAATTATTCCTACGCAAATTAGTATTTTAAAGAATGATATAACGTAAAGATTTAAAACCGTTTGTTTTTTTGTAAACAGATTAAAAGGGCAAAAAATTGTGAAAAAAATATAGAATTTTTATATTATTATTATGTTAATATGTGATAAAAAGGAAATTTATTCATATGAAAAAGAAGGTTATTTTTTTAGTACGTGATAACAAGAAAAACAATATTTATTCATACGCAAATTACTGTTTTAAAAAGAAAAATTTACTTAAATAGCACTAGAACATAATGACTTTTCCTAAAAATAAAGGAAAAAGGAAAGAAGTGAGAAAAATGATGGAAGGAATGCATAAGGAAAGGTTTACAATTACATAAGGAAAGGTTTACGATTATTAAATCTTATTATAATATTATATTTATAATAATTATGAAATGGCCAAAAGGTAAGTTAATAATTGTGAGGTTAAAATGGTAAGTGGCTGAAATTGTGAAATTATAATTATTAAAAAAGGTATAAATATAATAATTAACGTATTGAAAATTAGAACTTATTAAAAAAGGTAAGTAAATAATTGTGATGTTAAAATGGTAAGTGGCTGAAATTGTGGATTTATAATTATTAAAAAAGGTATAAATATAATAATAGCTATTATTTTTATAATAATTAATGTGAGTAATATAAAATGGTAAGCGTGACGTTAATATAATTATTATATATATAATAATTAACGTATTGAAAATTGGAAATAATTAAAAAAGGTAAGTTATAAATTTGCAAAGCGTAAGGTTTTTAATAAAATTGGAATCAATGTATTATATGCTAATAATTAACCAACGTTATTTTGAATACTGATTGGAAACGTCTGAAATTATGGTAAGAATAAGTAATTATCATTTTAACTATCGGAAGTTAATATAATTATTTTTATAATAATTAACGTGAGTAATATAAAATGGTAAGCCATCGGAAGTTAATAAAATATTATATTTATAATAATTACCATATTAAAAAGGTAAGTTATACAAATCTAAAGCGTATGTTTTTAATATAGGTAAGTTATACAAATGCAAAGAGTAAGTTTTTGAAAATTGGGAATAATTAAAAAGGGTAAGTTATACAATTATACACCCAGTTTCGAAAAAAAATAATTATGGTAAGAATAATTACACCCAATTTCGAAAAAAGTTAACCCTTCTTATTATAATTATAATTATAATAGCCTATAGCCTATTACAATTAAATATACTATAAATATCACCACAAATTGTACAATAATGTAGTCTATAAAGAAGTCTTTCGAATTTTGTAAAACAATGATGTTTTTAACCTTAAAATAATATAATCTCTATATTTTATTGCATCTCATTTTTATCATTGAAAAATAATTTGAATTTAATAACTTAAAAATGACCCGTGCAACGCACGGGTGTGATACTAGTGTTCATAACCTTCATATTCAGATTTCAATTTGACTTTTTCTATTCAAATTGAAAAGGAAAAATAGGGATCAGACGATTTCTTCAAAAGGGTAGTCTACGCCCAAACCCATGGTTTACCTATGGTAATGGTTGCTCCTCTAATTCACTCTGACAGAAATTGATCGCCTTATTCTTGTGGATTTCATACATATGGATGATTATTGGAACTATAAATTCATATAATTCTTAAAATTATACTAATATTGACTTCCATGGCATAATAAAATACTTTTAAACACAATCAAATTTTTTAAAAATTAATTTAAAGAAAAGTTGCCTACTAAAGAACATGATTGTTAAACCCAAAAAGCACGACATGATGCTGAATTCATAGCATGATAAAGCTTATTTAAATTCTGGAAGAACAAAAAATGGTATTCAAACATTTCACATACCTCGAAGGAGATGTGCTAAGTTAGTGCGTCAACCCAATGTGTATGAAAGTTATTTGCTTCCCTTATGAAAACCACAATAAAAAGCACATTTAAAAAATAAAAGATGAACAAAACCTATGTACAATAGTCAATACTTCCTCGTATGCATTGTTATCAAGGCGTCGCCTAAGCGTCGCCTAGGCGACGCCCAGGCGTGTGGGTGAGATATTGGGGATGCCAAATTGGTTGCCTAGCTTTTTCCGCCTAGAATTTGACTTGTCATCAATTAAAATGCGGCAGGTTACCTGGAAAGATCTGAATCGCAGCAAAGATCCGGAATTGAAGGTAAAAACGTGGATTCCAATCGTATAATCGTCCAATTCAGGCACGATTCGATCTTTGAAGATGCGATGCGGGTCGGGCGAGGAAGTGAATTTGCTTCTCGTCGGCTTAATTAAAAGATTTACGAGTAATTGCCGGCTACTCGCGGGTTACGACTTACAACCCATTAAAAAGTAAAAGGAAGAAGACTTTAAGGGTCGGGTCGGGTAGTTTATACGCCTAAATTTATTTTAGAAAACATAAATGGGTAGTGGCCTAGTGGGGGTACTGTACACTGGGAACTATAAAAATTAAAAGAAACAAGACTTTGTGGGTACTGTACATTTATGGAGATGGAGTAGTGGGGTACTGTACTGTGAACTGTTCTGAATATTGCAGTTTCTAATCACTCGTACTATTCTATACCTAAAGGTTTTTTTCTTCATCTCGTTTGGTATCTGACTGGATGAGTTGCTTCTTTGAATTTTTTATACTCCCTATTTATATATTATCAACATTTTGGTACTTATTTTTTTAGTATCACTGTACTATTTATTCATTTTATTTATTTATTTCATACTATGTCTGTTTACATTAGTACCTAAAAAATATCAATATTGACATATCCCACTCGCCCAAGGGACGCCTAGGCGGGCGCCTAATCGCCTAGGCGTCTGGAAGGTGATCTAGCGCCCAACCTCGCCTAGTCGCCGTAACAATTATGCTCGTATGACACTAAAAGCACATTCAAAACAAAGTTGAGATTAAGGTGATGATGAAAATATTAAATTACACTCTCTAACCCCCTAACTCGGTTGGTTCCCATGACATTGGGAATCAAAGTCATGGAATGACCCAGAGGTGTTCCAGTTCCCCGTTCATAAAATTGACGATTCCTACCTCCTCTGACCCAGTAAACCCTCTCACCCTGCCCCGACCTGAACACACCCCCACCCCTTTCAATTGCAACCCCAAGTTAATTTTGACTTTGAAGGGGGTAGGGGGTGGGGGGGTTTACTAGGGGAGGATTAGGGGGGTTGAAACTGTCAATTTTACGAATGGGGAACTGGCCCCTTATATGTAATCTAATAATTTAAGTGATAGAGATTGAGCCTATAGCTCTTAAGCCAGCCTCACAGATAACTCCTATAGATTTAAAAAGCTGGGTTATTTTTTTAAAAAAATTCATTAAATGATAAGAAAATAGGTTATGGTGCTGACCACGTGAAGCTTGGTAAATTTTTTTATTCAATAAATAAGTTATTACTTCAAAGTTGGGAGTCTTAAATTTTTAGAAATGGTTGAATGTTCCAAGTATAAATTCCTCTAATTTTTAAACTTATACTCATACTGACTGCCAGGACAGAATACAATAATTTTTAACACAATATCTTAAAAATCAATTTAAAGGAAAAATGACTACTGAAGAACACAGCAGCATGATTGCTAAACCCTAATAATATGTGAGTATGCCGGATTTACAGCATGGAAAACCTTAATGAAATTCAGGAAAAGGCTATAAAAATGATATTCAAGCATCTCACAGACCTGCAAGCAGATGTGCTAATTTAGTGCAATCTCAGCTTCACAGTATGCCAGTCTGGGACAAGGAGCTGCGTCAAGGAGGAAGACAACTGATATAATAACCACATCCATTGCAGATCGCTACAATACTGAACGGGAGAAAAATTTATGACTTTGCATATTTGGGGGAGCTAGCGCAAATTTTGGAGAACTGTATGTTCATGACCCAGTGCCATCGGGTTCGGGTCAACCCAACGGGTTATGACTTCGGTTTTTTAAATTTTTAAATTCACATTAACACTTATATTTTCTATTAAATAAATTTAAAATATCAAAAAAAATTATTAAATCTATTAAATTATTTTATTTTAAACTCTAAAGTATTTTTAGATATATAAATCAATTTAAGGAATTTAAAAAATGCTTAAGTTTGAGAAAAAAGTAAGATAATTATGCAATATCATTAAAATTCTATCTGAAAATTTAAATTTATACACTAAAAACGAGTAAAAAAGTGTATAATTTTGAAAAATTCTTACTTTAGCGGGTCGGTCAGGTCGGTTTCGGGTTCGGTCGGGTTTGACCCATTTTTAGCGGGTCATTTCGGGTTCGGTCAACTTCGGGTTCGGTCATCAAAACCTTTGTTCAAAACCCAGTATTTTCAGGTCGGGTTTCGGGTCAAAAACAGGTCGGGTCACTTTTTGCCAGGTCTAATGGGCGGTCAAAGTGTAAAGCTCACCAACTATCAATGCAAAGCTCACCAACTGTTAATGGAAAGCTCACCAAGGAACAATGCAAAGCTCACCATTTTTTTTTTTTAAAAAAAAGCTAATAAAGCAAAGCTCACCACACTACACTACAAAGCTCACCAATGGATAATGTAAAGCTCACCTGGAAATAAAGCAAAGGTCACCACTTTAAACCCCAAAACTCACCTTTTTTTTAAAATTTAAAAATTAAAAAATTAATTAAAAATAAAATAACAATACCGGTCAACCACCGGTCGAGGGTAGTGGAGCAATAGTGGCGGCCGGAGCCCGGCGGTGGCGGCGACCAGATTCCGGCGATCAGAGGCGGGGACCGGCGACCAGCAGCGGCGACCGACGACCGGCGGAGGCGGTGACCGGTGACAAGCGGTGGCGGCGGCGGCCGGCGACAAGAAGCCAGCGGCCGGTGTCAGGCGGCGGTCAATGCTGGCGGTCAACAGTCAAAGTCCAGTCAGCACCCTTTCCTTTGATTTTTTTTTTGGGAAAAAATTCAAAGTGTTGAAAAAATATGGTGAGCTTTGTCTTACACTTTGGTGAGCTTTGTAGTTGTCTTTGGTGAGCTTTGCAGTGACCAGTGGTGAGCTTTGTGTCATCTGACCGAAGCACGTCATCTCACCGTAAGGTGTCATCTCACTAGAGTCAATCTCATATATATATATATATATATATATATATATATATGTATGTATATATATATGTATATATATATATGTATATATATATATATGTGTGTGTGTGTGTGTGTGTGTGTGTATATATATATATATATATTAAAGGAAAGTTTTATTAAAAACGAAAAAAA